TGTTTTTCTGAGGTATGCCAAACCCAATGCAAAAGCCAGCTGTTATGGGCCTACCAGACCTATCTCCACAGAATTAAACACTTTACTACTGTTGAATTCTGTGTGGTTTGGGAAGGTTACAGGTAATGGTATTCCTGAATCAAGCAATGCTTTAAAGATTTTACCACCTTTAGTGGCTTTATAACTTTAACATACATCTACATCTATATTTTGCCATGAGGAGGAAATGAATGTGTAATGAATAAAATAAACATATAACAAAAATAACAAAACTGTGTGTAAAGTCACAGCTATTGAAGTGAAATGCAACAAAAGCACTCCTCAATCGTTTGTCACTATTCACCCTGTTACTTGTGAGTGGTCTTGTGTGACGTATTGTGAATGGTCTTGTGTCTGGTCTTGTGACTGATTTTGCATCTGGTCTTGTGAGTGGCATTGTGACTGGTCTTGTGTGAAGCCTTGTGACTGGTCTTGTGTCTGATCTTGTGTGAAGCCTTGTGACTGGTCTTGTGTCTGATCTTGTGTGAAGCCTTGTGACTGGTCTTGTGTCTGATCTTGTGTGAAGCCTTGTGACTGGTCTTGTTTCTGATCTTGTGTGACTGGTCCTGTGTCTGATCTTGTGTGAAAGCCTTGTGACTGGTCTTGTGTCTGATCTTGTGTGACTGGTCTTGTGTCTGGTCTTGTGTGAAAGCCTTGTGACTGGTCTTGTGTCTGGTCTTGTGTGAAAGCCTTTTGACTGGTCTTGTGCCAAGCCTTGTGACTAGTCTGGTGTCTAGTCTAATGAATAGTCTCAACACTATCAGTGCATTCAACACTGTCATTCTCTACCTCATGCTCCTGCTCTATTTTCCCCTGGTTCATCAGCAGTTTGGACTTCTTCTCATTTTCCTTCTGTAGACTCTTCTCCAGGCTGGCCAGTCTCTTTTCAGTCTGTAGATATATAAACACATTGTCAAAAAGGCAGACAGGGCCCTTTGAATAATATGATTACTACAAGATGCTGAAAATGGTATTCATAAATTTAACAATGCACAACGTGACCGTGTATTAATATACATGTATATGATAATGCCCACAGCAAGTTGATAATGCCTGATGCGTAAAATATGCTGGCACCTGGATGCAAGCATTTCATCCATCCCTATTGGTCAATAGTCTGTGTGCACAGCAGCACGCAGAACATGCCACGTACACACCAAGTCCATATAAGGAGATTTTTCTCGACTACTTGCAAAACGAAAATATGCCATAAAATGGATAAGGTGTTCTGGAGAATGAAAGTACAATTCTTCAACAAAATCCATGGAAATTTACTGCATATCGACATCATTTGACTCTCCGACTGAAACGGTATTTATGAATGGGAATAAATGGGGTGTGTTTTTTTGGGGTCTTCGTTTACGACGGGCACAGGAGGATGAATGTTGGTAATGCCCAAGCCGCAGTCACGTCCATTCTGATCGGCGAGCCTTAAATAAGGGAATAAATATAAACCGGCTGGCTGCAGGCGAGGGCATTATCTGCATTCGTATTTCTGCGCAAGGTCCGGTGAAGCACATGTTTATTCACATTCATGAATACCTTTTTATTCAGAGGCAAAAAGAAGCCAACATGTGATTGATTTCCAACGATATTATTCTAAAATTTATTTTCATTTACCCAAACACCCCCCGTTCATTTTACGGTATCTTCCTTTTGAAAGTTGTCCTATCCAGTTTGTAAGTGACTTCATCATACATGCGCATGCATCACGAATTATGTGCTCCCATTGGATAAACAGACAAGTTGCCCATTAACTTCAGATTCCATGGTTCTGTGTAACTCTATGTGTAGTGGGTGTGGTTTAAACTGAAGTGACGTCACACTTACGAACCAGATAGACCTTTTTTTCCTGTGGTGTCGTGCTGGATTGCGATGTGTTGTGATGGTAATGAGTGCATAGTGTTGTGATGGTAATCTACTTATTCAACTAGTCAAGCATGCAGTGTTCACATGTGGGCTTGCACGTGGTTGAAGCTGCCCATAGGACTATATGTGATCACCGTGGCCACGGCGGTCCACACGTGGTGGTATAGGTTTACACTAACGCAATCCAGTCACGTTGGTGAAAAAAGGTCTATAGAATCCTTGTATATGGACTTGGCGTGCACATGGCGCATTCTGCGTGTTGCGTTGCAGGCAGACTCATGACCAATACCGATGGAGTAAACTGTCTAATACACAGTCAGGTTGCACATTGTTGAATAGGGAGACTGAGGTATTTATGAATGCATGTTTAAGACCGGCCAAGCACATATTTACTCCCTCACTAAAATATGGTGCAGATACAAAAATGCCACGCACAATGACACGGAAAAGAGCTGACCCCAACAAAAACTGACTGGTACAAATTTCAGTTATTAGTGGATACTTCACAGGAAAAGCAAACACTCAGGCTCAGCTTCATGATCAAAAGTTGCAGCGCACCCACATTAAAAAGTCCCCATTTGAATGTTATCAGAGGATGATGTCTGACATGAGACCAACTCTTAACAACGACAATTCATCCGATGTTCTCCCTGTGCTGCTGTCTTCAATCACGAAAAACAACTGTCGAGACAACCAAAGCACATTGGTATCGTCTACGTTGATTTGGCAGTCTGTGGCGTACATACCTGGGTCAGTGTGTTCTCCTTGTCACCTATCTTCACCTGGTGCTCCTGGAAGATCTTACGTAACTCATCGTTGGTCCCTTAGGGTTTCAACAAAGGAACTCCACTCAAACGAATGCAGGTCAATAGAAATCATCTACAGACTCTTCTTAACTGGTGAGCTACTGATGTCTTGTATAAACACAAAAATAATCCAGAGTACGCATACAGAGGAAATTTCATAACGGCCTTCTTCTGGTTATGATTTTGGGCCGCCTGCACAATTCATGTTTGCAAAAGATGACGCACAGGCTTGTTTTGCCTATCTGAATACATCCTTACCTGACAGCTCCTACATCAGCCCTGTGACACCACAATAAACTTGTGCATAGGTAGCCTTGCTTCTTTTATCTATCCCAAGACAGTTGATTTCCAAGAGTACTGGTGACCTTGAATGGTTGAAAAGCTGAAGCTAGTGCCACCAGTTTAGGGAACTCCAACATGGGGTCTTTATTCCCTGATCTTAAGCCTACCTTGGAAGATGAACTCCAAGTTATCCTCCAGTTCCTGCTTGTTCTTCTCCATCTGAGCCTTCTCGGCTTTGCACTTGGCTGCCGGGAGAAATCACAGCCACAGGTGTCAAAACCCTCAACCTCCAAGAGGTTCAGGGGAAGCAAAGAAGCCTTATATCCCGTCCCGATTATTTTCGCAGTTACTACTGTACGCATTTCCTGCGCTTAGTGAAATTCTGCGCTTGGAAACAGGGATGCTAGTGCTTGTGTACACAGACATTTCTCTTGTTGCTCAGCCGGTGTGCTGTGCCTACTTCTTACAGTCGGTGGCCAGGACCGGAGGCCTGTTAGCAGACTCCTTGGTGCTTAGCAGCAACATGAAATTGAAGTGTACCATCCTTACCCACTTCTGTGCTCAACAAATTGATTTCTTCCTCCCTGTCTTCGATCTCGCGAAGCCTTTCCTGTGATCCAAAAACAGAAAAATGAGAGTCTAACAACCCCAAACTAGTAACGCTCATTCCGTCGGTACACATGCCTACGTACATGTTCAAGAACAGAAGCATAAAGAGCTTGAAGGGAAATATTTCCCTTTTTGGCTTGAATAACCGTCTATAAACTCAGTGCCCACTGAACCACCCTGAAATCACCTGAATGTACATGTAGACAGAGGGAGTAGATTGCTGCAATTTATTCTTCCTAAGTAAGGAAGACCTCAAGAGTGCTTCAAATCGGGAAACACATTCGCGGATAAGTCCACCAGTCAAGGAAAAAAGGATATCCCTGCTTTCTTTTCCAAACAGGTCAGTAGGGCCAAGGAAACAGAGGTTATCAGACATTCAAAACATATGCAACACACAAGGCCCAGAAGATCTGTGCGAGGTTAAAATAAGTCAAGAATTTTCTGCTTTCTGAAAGTCAAATTCTGCTTTCTTCCGCTTTCTAAATTTTGTGTACAAAAACTGTATGTGACTGTACATATGTACATGTACTGTTGGCCTACATTTACCGTACATCTACAGGTAGCTTTGGCATAATGATACATGTAGGGCCAACATGCACCATGTCACTGTGATCTTGGACTGGTCCCCATCCCTATTGATTTATTCATAAGTCGTGAGACGTCTGGGCTCTATGTAGGGATAGGGACCTGTGTGATCTCCGCAGTGCGGAGCCAGAGGAAATCAATACCAAATTCTGCGATATCGCAAAGGAACAATAGGAGGGGAAACGCCACCAAATGTTACTTTCAAAGTGAGTAAAACAGTGAAAATGAGTTGTCATTCCTAATTTGGGTTCACATTTATTTGATTAATTGTGCACAAAGGATCAAAAATATTTATTTGTTTTATTTATTTATTATTTTTACCGAGAATTGCTTTTCCGCTTTCTACCCCCAAATCCGCGATTTTTGCGGATTTTCCACAAAGCGGAAAACTCTTGACTTTAGGTTAAAAGTTCTATGTTTTTTGGTGTCCATGCATCCACATACCAAAATCGGTCGCAATTCTCTCGTGATCTGGTTGACGGACTCCTTGGCTGCTGTCAGCTTTTCCTTCTTGGCTTCCAAATCGCTGGCAAGCTGGAAAATAACCCGAAGGTCCACCATTAAAGGCACTTCATCGTTCCCAACACAAGTCTCTGGATTCACGGGATAATAAACAGCTTGATTCAAAGTCACCCCCCCACCCTACCCTTTGTACGGTGTGAAAAGGCACTTCTTCTTGATAGCACGATGTAGCCGAGTCTATTACAAGTCCACTGCAAGTCAAATAACAAACACATGGGGACAAAGGCCTGTACTTGATAGTTCGCTTGAACAGCCTAGGACTTAAGACCTAAGATTAGAGGACTTGCTGTGGGAACTAGTGAGGACTTAACAGGGCCTTGACAGCAACAAGACTGCACTGCACAGCATGTATATACAGCATCACAGTGTTTCATGTTTGTTTTAATCAGATATCCTTTCCAAAGCATCTCATACATCTGACCCACTGATGGGCTGTAAGCCAAACGAGGGCAAAATTCCTCATCTCAGCTCTACCTCAAGTTGAGACTCATCTCAGGCTCTAGAATTTAAAAATGTTTGTCAAATGAAAATCTCCACACGTTTTGCCCCGACATTAGACAATCTGATGTTTCTGTAGCAAGACAATAAGCAGGATGTAGCCAAAGGATCTCAGCGTAGAAGACTTAATTCATGCAACTGTAGCCTTGAGTCAAAGATTAAGGTACAGTAAAATCTTGACTAGTTGAGCCTTGGGTGAATGGATCTAATAAATCTAATGTGCATTTTCAGCTGACAAAAGTGCCCAAGTCATGGAGACATAACAGGCTCCGCAACAGCAACTTTACTGTGGTTATTCTTCCCCTTTAATTCATTCTGATTTTGCTGTTTTGCTCACAAACCATTGTTTTCCTAAGATTTCATGTTGTTTCTTAAAAATTTCTATTCTATAGATACCGGTAGATAAAGCAATAAACCAGTTTATGCTGTGCCTTCATGTGGCGAACTTTCAAGTTGTTTACGCCGTCGTGTTTGTACCGCAGCGTGCAGTGCATAGTCGGGGCTTGTTTTCACTTGGTTTCCTACGTATGGTCACATGACCTTTTAATTCTGCAGTCACATGGCCATCCTAAAGAGTCACTGATTGGACTGCGTGTACACAGGCTGGTTACTGTACGAGTATCACTTATGCCAGAATAAAACGCTTGAAAGGCTGCAGCAAAGGTGACATGAACTTTGACCTGGACTGACCTCTTTGGCTTTGTCCTTTCTCTCTTTCAGGTACTTCGCTTCTGTCTTGTAGTCCCGAATGTTGATACTCTGTGATAACAAGCACGTACATCCGTATAAGATTAAAGGATCTAACTTTTGCCAAATATTCAAAAGAGTAGTTGATGGAGGTTCTTTCTGACCCATCGCAGAAGGTTAATGCGTAACGGACAGCCCTGTTCCAATTAACTGAAAACTCTTGGTTTTTTTAAAGCATCAAACCTGTTGTAGAAGTAAATGAATGTGAGGTCCATGTTGGATTTGTGTATCTCTGCTTTGCCATACAAATGGCTAAATGGTACAGCATAGCACATTCAAGTTGACATGAATAGAATGGGAAACCATATCACATGCTTGTTCATGGATTTGCCTCTTTACCAGTTGAAAATAGAGAGTTTTGGCAGAAGTCGCGCGTGCGCCCGTCCCTGTAAAGTGACAGGTACACGTTCACAAATGAGGTGCGCCATAGAATTAGTTTCGGCGATCAGTGCGCTTGTGGGAGAGTGGTCGAGCATGATTTCTGTACTTTTACTCTCTTTCTTTTGCACATGCTAATAACTTACAGCACTTAAACTGCCAGCCAGATCTCTCTTAGTTGGTGTTTTTACACAAATGCTAGAGAAATGTCAACAATGACATAAACAAAATGCATACGTGGAACAACTCCTCTTCGCATCTAAACGTGTCCGTGGCCGTCACAGAGCAAAACTGGTGCGCACGAATAGATGACATCAGCAGCAAAATCTCGACTTCATGTTCACTGGGTTTCTGTCAAAACTCTCTATTGATGCACACTTGTCCGGGATATGAGAGGCCTCTCTTATTTATGGGCGAGTGTGCCTTGTTTGCTGCATTATCTAACGGTCTGCATGTCAAGGGGAAACAGTGGCCAAATTCGTTCCCTGTCACCCAACCATTCTCTTTAAATATAATGACAAGTTTATGTATCGTCTACTGGGTATTTACCTGCTCCGTGCGCAATTTCTTGATGACATCTAACGCTTTGATGTAGCTGGAGATGAAACGAGACAAGAAAAACATAATGCACGAGGGTATCATACCTTGAGGTCCGAGTCGAGCAGAACATTGGTATATTTGGGGATTGGTAGAGGTCATTGATGGGACAGCTTACCGAGTTGCAGCAAAGATCTCATCAAACTTTCCCTTCAGTGTTTTACCCTCACTCAGAGGCCTACAGAAAGTTAAAAAAAAAAAAAAGATGTTTGGACTCGCTTAAACACGAATGGAAAAAAAATGTATCGGGGTAATTCCAGAAATTAGGGGTCCTTTTTTTTGTGTCCCTGTCACATCTGACATATGATTTTGTAACTTAAGAACACATTTTCTAATTTCCAAGAGTGATAAATTAATGTAAATCACCTGCCAAACGAAGAGTTTGAAATCGATTGTGGTGATATTTCCATGTCAAATAACAAAGGTCAGATGTAACAGGGACACAAAAATGTCACACTTTTGAACCCCTGATCTCTGGAATTACCGGATAATTTCTTTTTCTTTTATCTAGCTTTATCATATGTTTATTCCTGGATTACTTCATTTTATTTTTTTCGAAACTAAAATGACCTGTGGCATGGCCAACGATGGTAAAATTTTGCGTGTAGTTTTCTCGTAAGATAGCAATTTTCCCTATGTAACAGTTCATAAAGGCAACCCAAATCTTAACCTATAAATCAATTGTAAAATTTACAGTTTAAAAGCATGTGAGTATTGATATATCACAACCAAGATGAAGCAGAGACAGGGACGACTTGATGAATCCAAACAAAAGTCATACAAACTGCAACTCATGTCTGGACTCAAATGTCAAGCCATATACTACACCATGCAGTAAATCTTTCCTGAACAAGCCCAGCACCGTATAGTTCTGAGAAGTACTAATCACAGAACTGGCATCTTGATCATCATTCTGTCTCCAGGGTCCATGGCCAAAAAAGCACAAACTTTAAAGAGATCTGAACCGAGGACGCTCCCATAAATACATGTTATTAAATCAGGACTTCAATTTCATTACAAATGGTTTCGACTTGACTTGAGGAAGTGTCTCACCATGCCGCGTCCTCCTGATGGCAGAAGATGACATTATTCAGGACCGGCTTTGATACTCCTAAAGAGGCAACCATCTGTAGGATCACAAACAACAGGGGCCCATAGTATCATTTACACTGCATAGAGAACAGCAGAACCCCATTAAAGCAACCCATCGAAACATTCTTCAGATGTCACATCATGATTATTGGCCAAGAAAAACCATCTGATGCAACATATGTGTCTTTACCTCCCCCATCACCTCTCCTAGTGTTGTGCTCTGAGGAATTTTTAAAATTTCTTAGTGATATTAAGGAGTGGATGTGGTCAGCAGAAATTCGTCCAAAGTGTGACAGGGTGCAAGGGACATACATAGGGGAAAAGCAGGGGTGGATTGACTATCCCCACCCTACTTGCATGGAAGAGATTTACAAAAAAAGGAACCAGGCTCATCATGTTGACAGAGACATCAACATACGATTTCCTGCTGCAATGATAGGATGGACCTACATCATATATTATGGGATAAATGACTAGCTACAATGACGCAAAACCCAGATGACAGACGAAGTCTGGTACTGATTCAATTAGCAGAGGAAAGTGCACATTTTAAGACAACAGAGAAATTTCAAAAAGAGTGAGGAATGGTTACAGTGGCTCACAGAGACCGTTTTTAGTGGAGGCAAATGGGAATACATCATTAATTAATGTTAAGGCAACTGAGTAACTTACACACTACCAATTCTGCATACATGAAGGGAAATTTCAAACAGAAAAAAAAATGTCTGCAGTGCAAATGATAAATATCAGAACCTGGAACAGCAGGGATACAAAAGTCCACCTTTGATTGGAGAGGTCCTTGAGCTCAGTGACAAATTGCCGCGCAAACATAGCCATTAAATGGACCCTTATGATGGCTTCTGCCTGCATGACAAATGATCTGCTCTGATTCAAGCAAAATGGATGATAATATGCAGCAGAATGTAACTTGATGTTCTTGTCAGAGTCTGATTTCCTTTGTGACATGTACTGTACATGGCATTTCTGGCTAAACCGGATTAATTTCCAGAAGTGTTTGTCATTACTCTGTGCAAACACATGCCAGATGTAAACTCCAAAATTTGATCCATAAATGTTAATTGCAAAAGTACAACCGGAGGGAAGAAGTTTGCAGATATTATTCTTGGCACTCCTGAATGAGCAGTGGAAGGAAAACAGTTACATTTACAAATGTATATTACCCTGCTATGTTTACTTGGACTGAACTACGGCACATTCCAATCAGGCAACATTATTTAACAACTGGATTTGTAATCATCTGAGTGAAGAACATTTCATTATGACTTTCCGAGTCATTTCCACCTACATCCACAAGAATTTAATTGAAATTTGTGTAAAAAATATAATGAACACAAATGCAAACTAGCAGGCATCTGTGAGGCTAACTAAATTAATGTGACGAGCAGAAACCAGCAGTGAACCAGTCAAAAACATTCGGCATCACATCATATTTCGGCTGGTAACCTGTATGTCTCACGCAATCTTTTTCCCTCCACTTAAGCAGCTCAATGTCATTGGCTTCTGGTTATCAAGTACGGACAAATGGGCATTTTTACCTCACGATCAATTTCTGCACACTTTGAGCTGAGGCTGACTTTCTGTAGAGGGGAAAACAAAGAAGACATCAAGGCATTAATACTCGGCCAATCACTGCAATAGGCCACAATTGGGCCAAAGCGCCAAAGACGGCTTAAATTTTCTCTGTTGCGGGAAACAGTGCAGGCAGATACCTGTGTCGTTTCTTGCAGTCCGGGACACGGCACTGTCTCAGACAATTTCTACACACTAAGCATACACACCTCACAGGACTGTTTGCAAAATAAGATTAACTCTACTGTTGCTCTTGGTAGTTGTCTGCTCATCACGTTCCACAAACAATTACTTTTCTACCGGTACCATCACCAAATAACCATGTCTTAAAAGAGTATCCGCCCTGAGCAGGACCAAGAGAGGGCGCAATTTTCCCTCTGGACTTCTCGGGTTCACAAATGAGCATTGCATGCACGTGTTACCGTCGCGTGGCTACCAACACAATAACTGCTCCCACTACCAACATGGCTCTTTTCAACTGATGGGGGGGCGGTTCTTATCCTCAAGGCAGATACTCCCTGGTGTGATCAAGAACTTACTCTCGCTTACCCGAAGGTTGTAATCAAGCTGTTTAGATGCTCTAAGAGGGTACTCCGCGACAATGCAAAATGATAAAACCCAGCCAAGTCAACAAGAATACTCCCGTCATTCCTATGGGTTTACCCTTAAACTGCATGCGAGAGCGCTGAAGACAACCTCAAGCACAGTCCTAATCGAAATCTACGCCACATCCAAACAACAAAGCCGATCTAAATTAACGAGCTGCCCACAAACCTCTCCCAAATCATTGGTCCTTGCAATGACTCCCTCCAGGGACTTGAACTCAATCTTTTTCAACTGAAAAAAAAGAGAGGATAGAAAAGAATCTGCAATCAAATACATCACTTAACAAGAAGGCCAAAGATTCCACTAAACAAACATAAAAGACGGCAAAGAAGTTATGACCAAGTGGTGTTTTCCTATTGGTTTAGGCAATCAAGTGGGTTGCCTTCACAAAACTCTTGAAACGGTTCAGTGGAGCTACAGTTCTGCAAGGAAGTCTTTCAGCCTCTGGTCACAAGCGTAGAACTTCCTAGCAACTCTGATGCATTGGATTTTCTTGTGTCGACGTCCAAGATGTTGCAAGGTACCGGTGCGTGTACAAAAACCTCCTCACCTTCTGGACAGCTATCAGGTTGCGCGTGACCACTGCCACTTTTCCCGTCACATCTTTGAACTTCAGCTTGACCTGGGCCTTGACCTCTGTCTCATGGGCAACCTACGGAGGCACAACAGAAGAAATGGGTAGGAGCAAATGCTGCCGGAACAATGTGGATTCTGCTCTCATGCCCTCCACGGACTCGTCTGCATCTATCTCTTCCATTTGTCCGGAGGAAGAATTGCTAGTTGGAATAATGAACTTGCTCATTGGACATGGCTACGTGTATGCACACTTGCTTAATTGCATGTACTGTACTGTAGTTGGGTTGGTGCAGCAGTTCTTTCCTCGCCTTCCACCTGGTGGCCCAGGTTCGATTCCCGGCTCAGTCCACATGTGGATTGGGTTTTTAGTCCCTACCTGATTATGTGGGTCTTACCTAGAATATTCTCCTGGGGTTTTCCTCAAACCTCTAAAACAGTAACTACTTCTCACTGTCCCTTCTCTGCAGATGCAAGTCATTTGACAGCTGCCTTTGACTCACGTTTTAAATCTGACGGCTTCCGTGGAAAGCAGTGCTATACACTGATTGGAGTTTCAATTCAATTTGAGAGAAAAAAAGGTGTGACGTACTATCCCAACCCTATTCATCATCTTTACAGATTGTTGCTTAACTTGGTTTTCCTGTAACAGGCCTACATGTACATGTAGATAGCTACCAATCCGGTATTAGTACATGGACCATGTTAGTTGACATATCACATGGTCAATTCTCGACATACATGTAAGTAATCTCACAATCCATCACTGTAGTAAGACAATGGGCGTTCCTGCTCAAGACCTCAAATCCCAACCTCCCTGTCAAACAATGCATCCCACATCCCCCTTCTCAAAGTCCTGTCCCTGATTGAAGGATACCTGTTGCACTATTATCTTACACGGACAAACGTGTACTCTGCCATACATGTACCTTTGGGTCATGGATGAAGGCGTTGCCTTTGCTTCCTGGTGGCATGTCACCTGTGCAGACATACTTCAGGCACTCAATGATTGTCTGAGGTGAAAACGAGTTCATAAAAAAAAACATACATGTACTCTTCCACAAGCTTGGTGTCCAGTGCCTCCGGCCAAACTTACATTTTGCATTTCATAATGAAGGGGCTGAAAACTGAAAGCCAAGATTTCTGTTCAGGTGGAGGGAATGTCTACGGAGCCCAAATGACAAGAAATGATTATTTGCCACACAGATGATGTAAATTTTGCAAAACTGCCTTGCTGTCGTTAGGCTTGCACCCACATTCTCCTTATGTCCGACATACCGCACAATGTACATGTATTTATTTTGCTTGCTGGACATTAACGGCTAAGCAATGCCTTATACCTGCACTGTTTGTATACAAAGCTTTTGGAAAGAATTGAAAAAAAATAAAACGTACATGTACATGAGGAAACACACTGTAATCCCTACACATTCAGCTTCCCTTCAAAAAGATTGGATTACGCTCAGAATGACTCTCTCAATAAAGCCCATCCAAATGCTTCTAACATGGGAAGGATAGTTTTACGTGCATGCTAACTTGACCTTTGATGAGATATTGTGTGACAAAATGATGCCACTGTTTTTATTGGGTTTCATTTCAAGACACTGTAAATACGTATATGTACATGTATGTACATACTGGAGTCAACTGGTCAGTTAGGAACTTCACACGTGTACTGTACGCGTAGTTAATATCTTCTGAAAGTCTTTTTGTGCATGTAGGGATGACACTACAATATGGATGTAATTGATACATTTTGGTATGATGTGCTTGACGCCAATTTGTCTCACCGTTTTGCCCGCTCCATTCTGGCCCGTGATGAGTGTGAGTGGGTGGAAGAAGTCGATGATCTGGCAATCCGAGTCCTCCTGGCCAAAGCTCCTGATGCCCCGGATACTCAGCTTCTCGATGGAGGACATGGCGGGGGATCAGGGGAAGGATGGGTGCGGCATTCACAATATCTAAGATGTCAACAAGAATAAAGATGACGACTATGTGTTTAGTTTGTAACACAGCATAAGAGCCAGCACTGAAACAGTAAACACAACTTACAGTGTTTATACAAATTTAAAAAAAATCATTATACATGTACTTAGTGGTCACTAAAAGCTGTACGTTAAACCTCCTCAGATACATGTGACAAATGTGACAAGTCCTTTCACATGGATTCATGTGGGCGGCCAAAGTTTGTAGAAATATTACCATTGGTTGTTGTCAGATGAGTGGCTCCTCAAACTTTGTCCTGTTAATTTTAAAGAGGCCATAGTTTTTATTACTTATTACTATTTAGTAACAATGTTTATAACAGGCTGTTTAGACAACCAGTCATTTTTTTGCTTTTTGCACTGACAGCTAGCCATTATTTTACCAGCCACTGAGGGCACAAATACTAATGTGATATAGGCTTGGGCTATTTCGATATTACAATCCATGAATACATGTACCAGAATACTGGCTAATCGGTATTGAATTTCAATACCGGGGTATTCTGGCTAATTTGTTCAGAATGTTCCCACAACCCTCATAAGATGAAACCAGACAATTATATCCACAACGGTGACTACATACTTTGTGGTTTTAATCACCCAGCATCGTGTTTGTATTGTCTCTTTTGGTGAGGAGATAAGATGTAACGTGATACTTCGGCATGCAGCCATCAACCCACTTGTCAAAAGGTTTTGTTTTCTATTGCCAACGTTGAGTTTCCAGTTTTGAAATAGCTTGTAGGCAGTGCTTGTTGTATTGCTCACTGGCATATATCACAGCCTTTAGCTTGGGAATGAAAATCATCAAGTCTTCCGTGCCCGCACTGGACTTTATTTTCTAAAGATTTTTATGGGCAGATCCAAAAATGCAAACGCTGCTTGTGCTCTCTTCAGGTCTTTTTTGTCCTTTATATAAAATATGTACAAGTATTGTGTGAAAATTTATCTAACGGAAGCAAAGAACTATAAAATGATTCAACAAATCTGCATCTATTCGACATCCAAGGCAATCAACGATCTTTTTTTGTTCTCACATTTGTTCCCACCACACGAAAAGAGAAGCAAAACCCTGATTCCTCACTTGTCAATGTTTGTATTTCAGTTTGTCTGAATTAAATTGAGGACAATGTGGTTGATGTGTTTAGAATAACAAACTTCACTGTCATTATAACAACATGTTTAACCCTAACTCCCTAGGGTGGGTGCAAAATCATATTAATATTGGAGGATTCAGGACTGTTAGGGTTAATGTTCATGTGAGATAAAAAGCAAATACATGTGAAAGATCAATCCAGGGATTTTTAAAAGACTTTCCATCACCATGGATGACGACGAAGCTAACAGTAACTAAATGGCATGTACATGAAGGCCTGTGTGTACCTGCAAGAATGCGAAGACTCATCAACTGAAGCCCCATCCATGTATGTAGTCTTTCCAACACAAGTTACATGTATGTCATGGAGAGACATTTTTATTTCATTTTCCATCTGTCTTATGATTTTCGACACTAGCTGCATGACATCGATAGTCCGAGTTCACTTGCCCACTGTGGCGTAGCCGCCCGCGCACGAGATGGTTGCTGAAGAAGCATGATGTCATGAAGGAATATTGTGATTGGATAGCTGTGTCTTGCAAAATGTACGTCATGAAAACACACAGTCTCATTGGCAGGTACGCTAGATTTTTTTGCAGCAATACATGTACATGTATGAATGATTCAGTGTTGGGCAATTAGTTGGGCTCTTGAGATGCGAGAATAGTCAAGTGAACTTATTCGGGGTATATTGTTTTATCAGAAATGGGATGAAAATTTTTGTTTTGGCGTTTGTGTAATCAATGTAAAATATCATTGATTTTTTAATTGCGCACTACGCGTGTCATGACGACAGGAAACTGACAAACGATGTCTGTATATCGCGTTGTCAATGTGTGTGACACATCAGGAGGGGCGGGCAATAAGCCTCGTGCTGCGGCTAGAAAATTTTGTGGAAACACGCTCGCTTCGAGTACCAGCAGTACAACCTCAAATTAAATTCATGAACACAGAAAACACAAACACAGACATGCAATCAATTTTTGTGAATGAACCTGCGGAAAAATTTGTGACGGCAGTGTTTTTTGACTTGCAACTGTAGAGCTGCATTCGTATATGATGTACATGTAGTGGAATTCTCGCAACCCTTTCTGGCAGCAACCGTACATAGACTGGTTGCCACATTTCCCTTATGCCTTCGTTGCCAATGGTTCGGCCTGGCAGGAACCAGTGTGGTGCACTGTGCGCGTGTTTTCACCACCGCGATTCACAAACGCTCGTTATAAATGGGTCGTCAACAATGGTTTTTCAGGTAAAGGAGTCGCAAAAACCTTTTGTTGTAACAAGAGATTTCGTACAATGCGATTTTGCTGTTACAGATTTTCTCCCCATAGAAATGTGCACGTTTTTGACGGGACCACAGATTTGAGTATTGTTACAATCGGAATTTCGTTATAACCGATTTTGTAATAATTAGAGTTGACTATACATGTACTTGCAATGCCAGCCGTGCCACAGAGTTTTCTGGAAGCCACCTTACTTATTGCACACGCCCAGTGTTAGGGCGCAGCTACATGTAAGAGGAGCAGCCACTGGTGACCGGCATGTAACCATTTAATACAATAAAGCACTGTCTCGTTGAGTACTTCACTGTAGCACATACACATGTATGTGTAGATTTTCACACCCCAGGAGTGACCACACAGCTACGAATCATGGAGCAACGAATTGGTATTTAAAACACCGTTCAGTTTTTTAATTCTTTCAAATAAATAATATTTATTTCACATCAAATGGAAAGACAAATTAAACTTATCAAGGTTACAGGGTTTTGTGACTGTTAAAAACCCTTTGTACTTTGTAGTTGTTCTCTTTGTGTTTTGCCACTGAATGTCAGCATCAATGCTGCTTTTTGATGATGTACCGGTACATGTAATGCCTTCCTCAACAAATACCGCGGTATTTTTTTCACAGATACTGTGGTATCGAAAAAGGCAATACCGCAGAAGCCTAATGTGATATAAAAATGAACGGGCCCCATTGCTCTGCAAATGAAATACACGATTTTGCTGTACACTGCTGTTTCTGTGTAAAAACAAACAAGTTTAAATGACTTCAAATAAAAAGTCCAATTTATAAAATCTGGCTTCATTTTTAATGTGTCAATAACGTACGTTTACATACATGTACATCATCAACAACACAAAAAAGCGTCTTTATGACATTTAAAAAAAAAGGATCTGTTTGCTGTGATGTTTTATTAGTTCTGTACATGTATGTGCCATGCTGGATGCTCTCCAATAGACTCTACCAGAACACTGAAAGCTTGAAATGCTATGAACGGTCCACTCTGAATATTGCAGGATGTGAGCAGAAAAAGGAATTCCGGTACTCTTCTTATCTGACATAGTCTACTAAACATCAGGGGGCAAATATCACTGAGCTGCTCAACACAGAACTGAGCGAAAAAAAAAAAAAGCTTGTCAAAAACTGGTCCCTAATCAAATCATTGCACACTGTGTACTTCTCGCAACTGGTTCTCCGCTGATATTTGCCTGGCAGTTACTGTGCATGTACATGTAGCATTTGCTGATCAACACTTTCTACCGGGTAGCTCTCGGCCTAAGCATTCCCAGGTGTAAACATTTGTTTCTAATACTACTCAACACCGCTGGGCCCTGGATCGATTCTTGGAAAAATGAAAGGAAATCAAACAGACTATGGCAAAACATCATGCCAAACGGATATTTGCAAATTTAATTTGCCTGGGGGTCACATGCTACCAGTATGCAATTATTTTGATCAAAGAATACGGTCCAAGAGAGCACCACATGACAACCTCAACCAAAACTGATAGAATGCCATCCATATACTAATACAGGAACATACATGTACACTACAAAAGAAGAGCAACAAAGGGACCAGTTTTACTGTCTGAGGTCAACCTACACTATCTGACACACGGCAGTCACAGAAAAGTCAACAATATGATGAATGGCACTTTTACTAAACTGGCAGGCATTTTCCCAAATCAGTGTCTGCAGTAAATGTACTTTGTCAATGGAACGTCCCACTGTGTCTACATACCAGTGCGTAATGGTTTGCACATGTACATATACTATCAATAATGTTCCATGGTAAGCCATATCATTTATTAACTAAGCTATAACTACCTTTAATCTGGTGGAATGAGGCTTGGTAAATTCCCTTTTTTTTTAATGACACTGCTCGTTTAAAACTGGAGATCCGCCAAAACTCTGAATAGCACTTGAAGCTTCAAAGAGCTCAACTTAAATTCTTGGGTAGGCCGCAATGCCTAGATTCTTCAGGTAATTTCGAGCAACGATCAACATGAAATGGCACTTTAACTCCATCTGCAGTGGGGTACATATACATGTTTTTAAAACAAACAGTTCCCTGCTGTTTCCCTTTACGCCCCACGGGCAGTCAAATCAGCCGCAGCATCCTGCACTGCTTTTAGCTCGTCACACATAATGTACACCACATTACCCAACAGTTGTTCAGATAATGACTGGTACATGTATCTCCTCAACACAACACTGTGGCAAATCGTGGTACATCAGTATGGTAACCAGTGCAATGAATATGATGCTGGTGATCAGGTACCACTTTTATGTTTTTCCCTGGAGCCGGCAATCTGTTTCCCATGCTGCAGGAAAACCGCTTAAGCAAATCATGATCACTATGGAGAATACATGTACCTTGTACCTTGTAGTTCAACCTCCTGAACGGTCCACCAGGAACTTAAACCAGGAGTTGATGAGAGTGGAGTGGCATTTAAAGGGAGTTTGGGACTTTTTTATTGATATAAAAAAAAGATATCTACATGTATCTGGGAATTCAGAAAGGAAGGAAAGTCTGATCCAAACTGTGTAAGACTTTGTACATTTGTTTTTTTTTTCAATTTGTGAATGGTACAAACACGTACACGTGTATGTATGTACATGTAAGTACCTGGTACATGGCAGAAAGTGAAAGAAAAAAAAAGAGCCGATTAAAGAAAAACTTCCCTGCCTTCACAATAGTTTCCACCACACCGGAACTTAATTTGGAGGCATCTTCTTTGTGCATAAAAAAACACCATCATCATTAGTATAACCAACTGATTGATGGAAAGTTGTACAGTTTTCAGATACCCCCACAGTTAATTGGAAATGTGTAAAACTTTGGGGACAATTGAATACCCCCCTCCCCCAACTAGAAACAGGTGCCTAACACTTTCAAGTGTTCCTTACAATGCCACTGTGCCCACTTGCTGTTTATAATTCAGAGAGGTTAGGGTTAGCTCTCAGCTTACAGTACCACATCTTATCAAAGTTATGATGATTATGTACATTTGGGCACTCCATGGAAGGGAGTAATCTTGAACAATCCCAACACGACAGGGCTACAACAAAATGACAATTCACAGGAACATTTGGCGGATATCAGACAAACTGAATCATGAGACAACAAACTTCACATAGCAATAGAATGGTAAAACAGATGGCTCATAATAAATTACATCAGACATTCATTAGAATTCCAACGACTTGGTCAAACCGGTATACAATGTAAAGGGCAATGGACCACGTGATATTTATGGTATCAACAACTGCTGTATGTGACTAGATTGCTGTTTTGGTGATGGTTTAGAACAAGACAATGGGTCCGCTGACAAACAGTACATGTTCAAGTACAAGAACCAGGTTACCAGCATGTGTCTGTACATGTACACCTGTACAGTATCTCTAAACCTTCTAATAAGCTGAATCAGTTCATGCCATGGATATGGCCGACAAGAGCAGGAAGTCTGGTCAGTGGTCAAGCACCTTCATTTCAAATTTGCATAGTTGAAACACGTACTTGAACAAGCACAATATTATATTTTTTTTTCCAACTGAGTCCAAGACCTACGTTAGCCCCCGAATTTCGACCACTACAATACGGGCATTTCACAAGAGCGTGCCTCCAAGCATTTGCAATGCGTTGGCCAATCACAGTGCGCCAAATCTGTTGATCCAATGCCGTTTGGAAGGGGGTTGCCAGACTTTTGCGCATTGTGATTGGCCAACCCATTGCAAACTCTTGGGGGCGTGCTACTGTGAATCACCTGTATTAACTCAAACATGACATGTGCATGTACATGTACATGTACATGTTGTAAATGGTGCAGACGTCCATCTGATGGTGGATGTCCATCTGATGGTCAGAAATCAATCAGCCATCTGTAATCATTTTCCCATCACTCATGTCAGGCAGCAAATCTGAAGTTGTTCAGTCCACTTGGACATGCATGTACCGATACACGGGTCAGACTTTTGTTCTACATGAACAGTGTACACCGTACATGTACATGGGGAATGGTCATGAAGTATTTATATTGTCTCAGATTACAAGTCTTTTGCAGGTGTGATGTTAAAAGCAGTTGGATCAAGAAACCCTCATTCAATTCCCTCATTTCTGGTAAAAACTGGAGTAGGGTGTGGTAAAAATATCCCTGTAAAGTAAACACAACAGCCTCTGAATATCAACAGCAATCAACAGTACATAATTCACAATCAATATGCATCAAGCCAATTTTCATCACAAAGCCAATTAGCCTCTTTCAGGAACACCAC